ACATCACCAATTCGACGGACATGAACTTGGGCAAGTTCCGAGAGATGGAGAGGGTCAGGGAAGCCTGGTGGGCTGCAGTCCATGGGGTTGCAAAGAGACACAACGTGGCGACTGGACGACAAACCACGCCCTAAAAGGAGGGGAGGCACGTGAACAGGGAAACCAGTGAGAGAATTGAGAGACTCTGCCCAGGCCTCCCTGAACAGTCAGCCTGCCCCAGGTCCTGCCAACCTGACACCTCGGCTTCCACTTCCAATGCCTAAAAGCCACAGATGAAGAGGAAACCTGCCGTTTAAAATAAAGTGGAATTTGCCTCTCATTAAAATGAAGTTTGTCACTTCTATCATAAATTGTCCCTCTCAGCTGCAGAAAAGGTCCATTAACACATTATTTTTCCTTCTCCAAATGAGACGAGAGTGGGTAGGATTGAAAATCCCTGTGGACAGTTAAAAAAGCCAGAAAAGCCCTCTCCCCTACCACCTCCAGTTGCCCCCAAGAAGCCAAAAATCTCATTGTAATTATCTGTCTGGGAGCAGGGTAGGGGAGCGTCGTAGCACGGTTCGTTAAGTCGCTAATTAGCAGGAACCAGCTTTGACTGTAGGGGTTGGGGGCCAGAAGAGTGGGTTTCGTTCTCTCCCTCCCCTCCTGCTAGCCCCCAGCCTTGTACCCACCCAGTCTCACCTGGTTCCTGGGCACTTGCTCTCAGAGCCCAGGTCTCTGCAGTAACCCTTTTCCTCTGAGGTCTCAGCCTCCACATCTGAGCTACAGAGACTCATCCCTGTGACTGCTGAGGGCTCGTGGAGCCCTGGACACCGTCCCTGGGAGGCACTGGCACAGACAGAACGACAGAGCATGCAGGGGGCAGGCTGGCGGGGGCAAGGGGTTGCTTGGAGCTCTGAGCACTTCCAGTTCCGATGTTATAACAATGATGACCTATGTTTAATGAGCACCTACTACAGGCAGGGCTTGACAGATTAGACTCTTAATCTTGGCACAAGAGCCCCACAAGGTCATCCTGCCCAATGTCCTTTACAGGTGAGGAGGCTAGTCACTACAAAGTTGAGTGACAGCTACTAGGTGAGATCTGAAAAGAGGCAGGCCAAACTGAGCCTGGTGCCCGCCCACCCACCACGCTTGGAGCCTGTGTGTCTCAGTCCCTGACTCCATGCAGGAAGGACGTGCAATTCTCCAGCACCTTCCAGTACAAATGGCCCTAGGAGATGGAACTACTGCTGTACCGTGATACACAGGGATAAAGGCACTTGTTTCAGGTCACGCAGATCAGGAGAATGAGGATTCTAAGAATATGGTCTCCTGCCCTGCACTCCCACTCCTGGGCATATACAGAGAAAAACGTGGTCCAAAGGGATTCATGCATCCCAGGGTTCACTGTAGCACTATTTACAGAAGCCGAGACATGGAAGCAATCTAAATGTCCATCAACAGAGGAATGGATAAAGATGTGATACAAACATACAATGGACTATTACTCAGTCATTAAAAAGAATGCCATTTGCTCCAACATGGGTGGACCGAGAGACTGTCATACTGAGTGAAGTAAGTCGGCAAAGAAAGAGAAATATCACATGACATCACCTATATGCAGAATCTAAAAAGAAATTATACAAATGAACTTATTTACAAAACAGAAACAGGCTTAAAGACTTAGAGAACAAACTTACGGTTACCAAGGGTGAAGGGTGGGGAGAAGAGACAGTTAAGGAGTTTGGCATCAGCGTGTACACACTACTATACTCAAAATGGACAACCAACAAGGACCTACAGTACAGCACATGGGCTCTGCTCAATTCTGTGTGGCAGCCTGGATAGGAGGGGAGTTTGGGGGAAATGGATACATGTATGTGTATGGCTGAGTCAGTTTGCTATGCACCTGAAACTATCACAATACTGTTAATCAGCTATTCATGCTAAATCACTTCAGTCATGTCTGACTCATTGCAACCTTATGGGCTGTAACCTGCCAGGCTCCTCTGTCCATAGGATTCTCCAGGCAAGAATACTGGAGTGGGATGCCATGCCCTCCTCCAGGGCATCTTCCCGACCCAGGGATCGAACCAGAGTCTCTTACTTCTCCCACATTGGCAGGCAGGTTCTTTACCACTAGCACCCCCTGGGAAGCCCTAATTGGCTATGCTGCTGCACTGTGTTGCTCAGTCATGTCCAACTCTTTGCCACCCCATAGCTATAGCCCACCAGGCTACTCTGTCCATGGGGATTCTCCAGGCAAGAATACTGGAGTGGATTGCCATGCCCTCCTCCAGGGGATCTTCCCAACCCAGGGATCGAACCCAGGTCCCCACATTGCAGGCAGATTCTTTACAGGCTGAGTCACCAGGGAAACCCAAGAATACTGGAGTGGGTAGCCTATCCCTTCTCCAGGGGAACTTCCCGAGCCAGGAATCGAACCAGGGTCTCCTGCATTGCAGGTGGATTCTTTACCAGCTGGGCTACCAGTGAAGACCCTAGTAGGCTATACCCCAATATAAAAGGTTAAAAAAAAAAAAAAAAAACATGGGCTTCTGCCCCTACATCACAGTCCTGGAAACTCACTTGCAGCCGCACAGCCCTCCAGAAGCCCTGCCCGGAGCAGAGCTCCCCTCCATTACCCTCACCCAGGAACCTGCCTGAGGCACAGCTGCCCTCCCTGGACCCAGAGACCCTGTCTGTCCTGCCTATACAGTTGTCTCCAGGCCCCATCAGCCCTCCCTTAAATTCTGAGAGTACCCATCGGGTTCCTGCCAGCCCTCAGGCACAATATCCCTGCTCAAACCCACACTTCCACGGCTCCAAGGGGGTCACTGGGTCATGAGCTCTGGGACCTCCTCCAACCCCACCTGGAGCTCTGCCCACCCAGAGCCACTCTGCTTACTGCCCCAGCAGGTCTTCTTAGGGCTGCAAGCAGGCCCACGCCCTTTCTTGGGGAGGATGACCAAGAGGAGCTGGAGGCTGTGGAGGTGCAGTCTAGGAGGTGATGAGAGTGTGCAGGGAGGGTGCCTCCATTTCCCAGAAAGGTTTCTTGGTTCCTCAAATGGGCAGGGAAGTGTGGGCCTTCACTCCCCCGAAACTATGGCCATGCCAAACAGGTCTTTCTGCCCTCCTGATGCCCACTCTGTCCCAGCCAAGCCCTCCAGCCCCCTGACCACCTTACCCAGGGCCTGCTGTCCGTCAAGCACCTTCCAGTTTAGATGGCACCTCAGAACCAAGGAGCAGCTGCTACGTGATTCCATTCACACCCCCGTGGATGCCAGAGATTGGGGGGCCTCCTGCGGGAGCCCAGCTCCAACCGCCCTCACCTAGTTAACACATACATCCATGCACACACGCTCATACACACAGTCCCAGGAGCCAAACAGTGAGCACCCACTACACACGCAGTCCATCTGCCACCCAGTTCAGGCCTCTGGTATTGGTAATGAGAGCAGCAGGCCAACAGGTCATGGGGCTGATGGCCACTCAACAGCAGCAGATGAAAGGAAATCTCCTGACCTGGGCTGAGCCCTGACTCTGGTCACAAGGATCACCGATGGGTGCTCCTGGGATCCTAGCCTCCCCCTTGCCCTGGGTCTAGCTGTCTGCAGAGGAAAGTGGCCAAGAGGGGTTAGAGTCAGTGCCTGGCATCGGGCCCTAAGGTTCTTCCTCAGCAGCTCCCAGCCCACAGCCTAAGTGCTCCTTGTCCCTGCCCAGAGAGGTCAAGGGCTCCATCTGAAGTCACAGAGCAAGTCAGGGACAAGCTGCCACTAGAACTCGGGCCTCCCATCACCTGGGCCTGGGACTCAGCTGCAGTGCATGCTGTGAGAGAGGCAGAGCCACAGGCCCGGCAGTCATCTCAGGGGCCATCTTATCTCCTAGAACCCAGGATGACTGTGCCTCAGGCCGAGAAGGGCAAGCCTCAAACCCACCCCTTTCTCCATCAGGATTTCCTTTTCTTCAGTCTCCTTGGCCATGCCCATTAAGCCCCTGCTTGCACGCTTCTGATGAGAGCAAACTCACTACCACCCAAGGTAGCCTGTCCACTTGAAGCTCTAATTGCTATCCCTCTCCCTGACCTGGCTCTCCATGGGGCAGTCCGTGGCCACTGCAGGTCAGGGTTTGAGGAAAAGGCTCTGGCCCCTCAGAGACTTCTGGACAGTAAGTGCAGCCCCTGAGCCTACCATCTTCCAGGTCCCAGTCCCTGCTTGCCTTCCACTTCCCGTTAGAGTCCCTGTGGGCCCAGGTGGAGACCCAGGCTGGAGCACCAATGGCTGGGTGGCTGAAGAGTAGCTCCTCACTCTCTCTGAAACAAGACAATTCAGGTAAATCCTTGGCCCTGGAAGCTCTGGCAGTGGGGATCCACCACACTCAGCCCTGAACAGGACCTTCCATACCAGGCACAACGAGCCTCCCCAGTCATCTCTTCCTTCACACTAGACTCCCTGCTTCTTGTGATATGCCCTTCCACAGCCTGAGCCAAGGCTCTCTAGCACTCTGCCCTATGTCTGTGCCCCTCCAGGCCTAGAACAACCATTGTGTGGCTCAATGGGCAATTGAGTGCCCATTGCCAAAAAGTAAGAGAAGGCCCCTGACTCTGAAAATATCTCCCTGCCAGCTTAGCCTGGCTCTGAGGTTGGTGCTGGGCCAGAAGCCAAAGGCTGGAGGGTCTCCCCCAAACCCTGGGTAGCAGCAGGCACCCACTGTCCCCCTGGACACCCAGTTCCAAGCCCCCATCCCTCCATTAACATCCCCGCCATGCCTTCATTAGCACAGCCGGCTGTCCCCGAGCCCCAGGCTTGCTGAGTTACAGTCCATCCATCCCTCCCAATGTCCTTGCCATTGCCACCACGGGCCCATATTACGGCACGCACATCTGTCAGCCTGTGGCCGCCACTACCACCACTGTTTCCAGGGAGACAGTCTCCATTTATGACATTATCAAAAAGTCTGGCCCCTCCCTCCCCCTCCCAACCCTTACCCCTGCCTCCCTTTATGGGGATGAAGATTTTGGCTGTAAATATCACCACATGTCTTCTCTGCAGACTCTGACGGGGCCTGACTACGTAGGTGCGGCAGAGGAAGCCACAACCACAGCGCGCAGCCTCCACGTGCTAGTAGGTGCACTAAGGCCTCACTCTGGCTGCCCTGGCCACCCTCCCTGCTCCACCCAAGACCATCAGAGAGTACCCAGCCCACTGCTCATCCATGTACCCTCTGCTGCCATATAAGCCCTGAGGCAGAATCTGCTCACGGTGGAGGCGGGCTGGCGATGGGTCACCAACCCAGGGCTTTGGCTGCAAGGTGGGTAGAGAGCTAGCCCCGGGAAGCCCTCAGCTTGGAGGCCCCAACATAGCAGGCCCTTTACCCATCAGCTAACAAATCCTTCTCCCAGCAGCCCCGCAAGCAGCAGGTGTTAACAGGACAAAATCAAGCATCTAAAATCACACAGCTGGTCCACGGGGGAGCTGAGATTGGAAACCAGAACCAAGGACTGCAAAGCTCCTTCCACCACAGTCCTGGTTCCTCCCACCCCACCATAGCCTGAGGGTTAAAATCTGACATGTTCTAAGCATTTTACATGTTTACATGTATTAATAATAACTTAAGCCTCACAATGGTGGCTCAGACAGTAAAGAATCTGCCTGCAATGTAGGAGACCTGGATTTGATCTGGATCAGGAAGATCCCCTGAAGAAGAGAATGGCAATCCACTCCAGTATCCTTGTCTGGAGAATTCTATGGACAGAGGAGCCTAGCAGTCTACACTTCATGGGGCCACAAAGAGTTAGACAGGACTAAGTAACTAGTTTGACTTGACTGAATGACTAACACTTTCACTTTCAAGCCTCAAATGACCCTGTGAGGCCAGCACCACTAATACACCCATTTTTCAGACTGGACACTGAGGCATAGCCAAGGCCACATGGCTTACAGGTAGATGCATGCAAAGCCAGGCAGGCTGGCCCCAGAGCCCAGCTCTTAAGGCCTCTGCTCAGAGGAGTGGTCTAGGCTAGCTAGGTGAGGGGTGGCTCTCCAACCTTGGAGAGACTCAGTCCCTTCCCTGCACCCTCCCCACAGAGATGGGCCTTGCCATCTTTCTCTGAGATAACACTAGAGTAGTGAAGCCCAGGTGCTGGGCCTGACACATTGCAGGGATTCACCCCAGCCCTTCCCACCCCTAGTCCAGTCTTAGTTGCAGAGAGATCATGAGGAGCAAATGTTCAAGATTTACTCAACTATCAAGGGCCAGGAAAGTGGTACATGGAAATATTGTCATTATTATTGTCATTGTGATCATCACAGTGGAGATTTGATCCCATCACTGTGGGGTTTCTGACCTCACGCCCCACAGGGGTGGTACACACAGGACCCTGGAATGCTGAGGGTGCTTCACAGACTCTCTAGGCCTGTTACAACTGTATTCATTTCCAAGGGCTGCTGTCATAAATGACCACAAACTTGGTGACTTAGAAATTTATTCTCACACAGTGCTGGAGGTCAGAATTCTAAAACTAGTTTCACTGGGCCAAAGTGAAGGTGTCAGCAGGGCTGGTCCTCTCAGAAGGCTATAGAGGAGAATCCATACCTGGCCTCTTCCAGCTTCTGGGGCCACTGGCATTCCTTGGCTTGTGGCCACATCACTCCACTCTCTGCCTGTGTAGTCACACAGCCTTCCCCTCTCTGTAGTCAAACTTCCTTCTGCCTCCCCATTATAAGGACATTAGTGATTGCATTTGGGGCCCACCCACACAGTGCAGAATGATCTCTCCATCTGAAAATCCTTAATTTAATAATATATGCAAAGATTTTTTTTTCCATATAAAATAACTTCCACAGATTTTAGGGATTAGGTCATGGACATCTTTGGGAGCCATCATTTAGCCTAAAACAGTCACCAGTTACCAACTCAACACCCCTCCTAGACAATTAGCAGGTACGTCAAAATTCACATGACCACAGCTGAATGCTTTGTTTTACCCCAAGCCTGATCCTGCCCACGTCCTCTTTTAAAAAGTAGTTATACTCCCATCTGCCCAGCTGTTGAGGCCAAAAACCATGGGGTCAACTCTTTTTTTTTTTTTCTTTTTTTAATATTTATTTATCTGGCCACACTAGGTCTTAGTTGCAGCCCTCAGAATCTTTGATCTTGAATGTAGTATTCGGGATCTTTAGTTGCAGCATGTGGGATCTAGTTCCCTGACTGTGAATTGGCATTGGGAGCATAGAGTCCCAGCCACTGGACCACCAGGGAAGTCCCAACGGGGTCAACTCTTAATTCCTCCCTTTCTCTGCCCCAGAATAGCTGATCCACCATCTGCAAGTCTCACTGGATTTCCGTTCAAAATCGATCCAGGATCTGACCACTTCTCACCATTTGCACAGCTGCCACTAGGCTCAAGACACCGCCTGTCTCTCCTAGATTACTGAAGCAGCCTCCTCCCTGGGCACCTGCCTCCATAGTGTCCCCAACACAGCAGCCGGAAGGACCCCGAAAACCCAAGTCACACTGTCAAAATGCTGCAGGAGCTCCCATATCACTCAGAGCAAAAGCCTTACAACAGTCTGCAAGTTCTGACCCCATTTGCTCTCAGACATCAGTTCCCATACCCCTCTCTCCTTCTCCTGCCTCTTCTGCCACTCAGGTTTCCTCCCTGTCCCTCTTACAGGCCAGGCAAGGGCTGGGGGTCCTTGTTCCCTCAGCCTTGAATGCTCTTCCCAAGTATCCACACAACTCCCTCACCTTCTTCAGGTCTTTACCAAAAATCATCTTCTCAATAGGCACCCTCACCACTAACCCTTGACTTTATCACGATCTAACGTTTGCTTATGCAGCTTGTTTAATGTCTGTCTCCTCTGCTAGAATGTAAGTTCTGTGGAGACAGCCTTCTAGGTCCTAAAAAGTGCCTGGACAAGTTCAGTTCAGTTCAGTCGCTCAGTCGTGTCTGATTCTTTCAACCCTATGGACTGCAGCACACCAGGCTTTCCTGTCTATCACCAACTCCCAGAGCTTGCTCAGACTCATGCCTGTCGAGCCGGTGATGCCATCCAACCATCTCATTCTCTGTCATTCACTTCTCTTCCTGCCTTCAATCTTTCCCAGCATCAGGGTCTTTTCCAATGAGTCAGTTCTTCGCATCAGGTGTCCAAAGTATTGGAGACAAGCAGGTGCTCAATAAATATTCATATCAATTCACTCCACAAACAATTATGGAAGCACTGGAGAGGTATCAGGACCAAGCGGTGAACAAGACACATCCCTTGACAAGGACCATCCAGGGTGTCAAACACAGTGACAGGGAAGCATAGAGTAACATGGAAGGTCAGTTCAGTTCTATGAACTAGGAGTTCATTAGCTAGATGAGGAGACAGCGTTATTCCTGGCAAGAGGAACAGCAGGTACAAAAACAAAGAACAAAAGACCTGTTGATGGAACAGGGGAGAAGGCAGGAAATAAGCCTAAGGTGTGAAGCAAGGTCCAGTTCAAAGAGCCATGGAGAGCAAGGCAAGGGAGTTGAACTTCTCCCTGTGAGCAGCGGCAAGGACTGAAGGGAAGGATGTGGCAGGTATGGGGGTCTGGAGGCTCCGCTGCCGCAGATGTCTGGCAAGCCGCCTAGATGCGGGGAGAGGTTGGGGTACAGGGCCCACCAACCAGGCGCCAGGGGAAGGAGTAGGAAATTTCCTCAACTTGTGGCCTCAAGACACAGTGACATACTGGGGCCCCCAATATGCCCAGAACTGTGCTGGGCGAAGACCTTGGGGAAAATTAAAGCCAACAGTTTACAACAGATGCTGGACTGTGCAGCTTTAATGGAGCCAGGGGACAGGACAGCAGGGTGGCATCATAGACTGAATTGTGTCCCCCAAGTTCATGTGCTGAAACCCTAGCCCCCAGCATGAGTGCATTCAGAGTAAGGAAATAATTAAGGTTAGAGAAAGTCATAGAGTAAAGCCTTAATCCAATGCCTGGAGAATCCCACGGACTATAGCCTGCCAGGCTCCTCTGTCCATGGGATCGCAAGAGTCAGATAGACTTAGCGACTAAACCACCAGCACCTTAAAGGAAGAGACACCAGAAACCCCTCCCTCCCCATCTCTCCCCCTCTCCACGCCCCCTCCTCACTCACTCTGCCTTATGAGCACACAGTGAGAAGGCAGCCACTGCAAGCCAGAAAGAGAGGTCTCACCAGAACCTGACCATGCTGGCATCCTGATCTCAGACTTTCAGCCTCAGAACTAAAAGAAAACACATTTCTGTCATTTAAGCTACCCAGTCTATATCAAATCCACCCAGTCTTTTGTTAGAGTTGTCAAGCAGACTAAGACAAATAGCAAAGTCAAGGAGAGCTTCCTGGAGGAGACAAGGTTTGGGGCCATCCTAGGGCTTAAAGACAAGTCAGATCCTGGCTGGCTGGACCTGGGGTCACACAGAAGACCCCAGCCAAGGCCCTGCTTCATCAGGCCTGCAAAGTCTCGGCAGCTTCTTTGGGGTTTCATTCCTCTGCTGAGGAGCACAGAGATAGTTGTGGGATTGATGGAACTTTGCAGCTTCCAAAAAGTATAACCAGACCCCTCAAGAGGGGGTTAGGAGGTCAGAATATTAAGGTTCCTAAGCACCAGATCCCTGCATCCCTATTCTGCTCCCGTGAAAGGTAACTCAGCCTTATCTGGGACAATCAGGAGTCAACATGCCAAGGTCCCCCCCCCAACTCAGGCTCCCACCCTATGGAGGCTGCCTACAAGTGGAGACCTGGGTGGGGCTCTGAATGACAGGATATGCAAAGAGAGAGAGAGAGAGAAGAGAGAGGTCTACAAATGAATATACATTTTTATAAGACATGTTTAATTAAAGTAGATTAAAATTAATTTGCTTTAAGAAAATTAGAAGTGCCCTAGAGGATTTCAGAAGCAGGACAAAGTCCCTGAATCCAGAGGCTCCACAGAAGGGCCTGGAAGTGGGGTAAGAAGGAGGGCACTCACACCTTTCCCCGGTGGTTCAGATGGTGAAGAATCTACCTGCCAATGCAAGGGACACAGGAGACATGGGTTCGATCCCTGGATCAGGAAGATCCCCTGGAGAAGGGAATGACATCCCACTACAGCATTCTTGTCTGGAGAATCCCATGGACAGATAAGCCTGGTGGGTTACAGCCCATAGGGTTGCAAAGAGTCAGACACAACTCAGCAACTAAGACTTCCTTTCTTACCCATTCTCTGCACAGGGAACCCTCAGAAAGATGTGCCTCCCACTTACACAGCATTCTGTACACCTCAAGATGTGGTCCGTGGAATAGCAGGCCCATTCAGCCCCATTATAACCAGGAGAAACTGAAACCCAGAAAGGGCAGTGACTTGCCCAAGGTCACACAGCACACCTGTGGCAGAGCTCAATGTGAAGCTGGTCCCATCTGCCAGCCCTGGATGTTTTGTTCACACTCAGCACCCCAAAAGCCTCCAAAAGCCCACACACAACCCACCCCCTGACTGAGCTGCTGCCCCCCAGGATCCTCTCATTTGCAGGGCGAGGACTTTGGCTCAGTGACAATCTGGCTCCTCTGAGGCCTGGCACAAGGAA